TGGATATGTTTGACATATTTTAATGAATAGAGAACACGCGTGTCGGCGAAGATTCTTCACGTCTTTGGATTTGGTCTCCTGACCATCGATTGTAAACGAAGATAACACTAATGTCTAACCAAACAAACGATATGTTTATAAAAAACAGATAATTAATTTTTTCAAAACAAATACTCTTTCAATGATGTGTTTGAGTGAATAATCGGAAATGTGTGGCAGAAATACGGTTAGGGCTGATATACATGAGAGTTGGCTCGAAATGACATTAGGGTTGTCTCTCATTAGGGTTTTGTCAATTAATAAACGCAAAAGAGTGTCACTTTCGGCGAAAAACTTTATAGTAGTTAAAAATAAAAATTAATTTACTTTAAAAATATTAAATATTAATAATATATTTACTTGATTTCTATCACTAATTTTATTGAAAACAGCGGCCGAAAGTTGCGCTAATATTTCCCATACGACTGAATCTTCATTAGATTTAATGATTGCAGTATTTAGTGATTCGCCGACAAAACTAAAACATGTTTTCTGATCCAAATCTAATTAAATAAATGCTTATGTATTAGAAATGCATGAATTATACAACTTTTAGAAACAATTACATGTCATTTGTCGGAGAAGTTCTATAGTGTCTGCTCTAAACTTCAAGAAAAAAGACTCAAAGTCTTCGTTGTCATCAAATTCAAAGCCTAAACTATTTTTACTAATCTCTTGTCGTGAGATCTTATGAGCAATGAGTGGTAATAAATTGGTTTGCAGTGAACTATCTATTGAAGTATTTTTATAAAACTGTTGGCAATTCTTCATAAAAATGTACCAAAATTGGACTGAAATGGCATTTAAGACAATATTTGGATGAGAAAAGAGTGAGAGCATCACTTGAAGACATTGATTCCAGCTATCAATCGATATATCCGTAATATTAGCCGAAGTGACCACTTGTTGGCAGATTGCGGACATCAATGAAACCAATCGTTTAGTAAGTGTTTGTATTTCAAAGTCTTGTGAATTTAATTCAATGTATTTGCTGTGAAACAGAATTAAAACCAAAATATCTTTAGTAATACTTTTGGACATTAATTGTCAATTAATATCAATACAAACCCAACAATTGAAACAATTATAGAAATGTTATAATTGTTATGAAGAGTTTGGATCGCAATCTTATCGTTGGGTTTGAGTTGTTTGCGATTCAAACAAACGAGAAGACAATCACAGATGGATTGTTTCATTTGAATGCATTTGTTGTGATGATAATCGGCGGCCAATCTCTGCATTAAAGCGTTGAGCAGATTCTCATCCAATTGTGTCCATTCAAACATCACATTCAATGTGCAAATGGCTGTCAAACAGAGATCAGTGTCCGGACTGTCCATACATTTATAAATATATGAATAAATTTCATTCAAATTGTTATTCAATTCATTAGTGATTTCACGTCTTCGCTGACCATTGTTTGGTCGGAAAAAGATGCCGATGTCTTCAGACAACTGCCAAATGCAGTACAAACTCAGAGTCGACTCTTTTTGCAGTAAATGAGGTATAAATTGCGGCCAATTTTGTGGCCACTCTCTGATCACTACTTCGACAACACATCGACTCAATCCGTTCATCATATGTCGCCATTCCTTCACCACAACCTCATCCGAAGACAAGTCAACCAAAAACCAGTTTTGGATCAGTTGTTTGATTTGTTGCTTCAGACTGTCATCGATTGAATTCCAATGAAATTTGATGACCACTTCAAGTGTCTGCAGACCAAACACTTTGTAGACAACGGACTTAGTGTTCAACTCATCGGTGGTTTGGTTCAGAAGTCTTAAGGAGACATCAAATAAGATGAAAACGTTTTGATTTGATTTAAACGAATCCATGTATTGATTGGCGGTATTCCTCTCCTGAAGACCGCTCTTCTCATCCATAATCACATCAATTGAATGACACAAATGACTGCAAATTATTTCATTTTCATTCATTTTATTCAACTTTTTAAAGACAATTACAATGTGTTAAACAAATGGTTAAACAATTGAATACAAAACAAGTGATCACTGAATCAGTCGGTGTGGAAGCGATCCAAACATTCAATACATAAGCAATGCTTGCCTTCAATGCAGACGTACTTCACTTCACACACACTTTGCAATACATTTACATTAGAATACAAAACAAGTGATCACTGGATCAGTCGGTGTGGGAAGCGATCCAAACATTCAACACATAAGCAATGCTTGCCTTCAATGCAGACGTACTTCACTTCACACACACTTTGCAATACATTTACATTCAAAGGCATTGAATTTGAATAACAATACTTTCAATGCATTTAACACTTAATTTCTATTATAAACTATTTATTAATCAATTTAATGATTAAAAACATAAAATAATTTCTGTTCTGAAAAAAATGAATATAAAATTTACTTAAAATGTAATCAAAAGCATAAAAACATAAACCATTATCTCGTTGTGGTATTAGTGGTAACCGTAGACCCGATGCCACTCACGTGGACTCATGGTTGCGGTTCTTTGGGACACTTGGGTGTGAGGGCGACGATAATGCCGGACACGACGAGCATTGCGACCCAAACGACCCAAAACATGACAAACAAAGACATGCGAAGGCGGACCCAAAAGGGGTCGTTGGCGTACTTCAACAGCTCCTTCTTACTCATGCCGACCGCACCCGACAGCCCATTGTCCACATCCACC